TCCCTCGTAACAAATGGTGAACTGTGTCAAAATTTTAATGATAGTTTGTTAAACAACTTTTTTAATTTTAGAACATAAATTCTGCAAACAAATCACAGAGTTGGTCTGATGTTTTGATTATGATCAGCGTTTCATTGAGTACTGACTGACTGAGTTTGGTTTTACGCCGCTTGTAGCAATATTCCAGCAATATCACGGCGGGGAACACCAGAAATGGGCTTAATACATTGTGCCCATGTGGGGAATCGAACCCGGGTCTTCGGCGTGACGAGCCAACGCTTTAACCACTAGGCTACCCCACTGCCCCTTTCATTGAGTATTATATGTTTATTAGTTTTCGTGTTAGATTGCAATTCATCGGTCCGCTTTTGAGCCAAACAGACTATATTCGTCCCTTTCCGTAACTTGAAAGTAGACTCGTACCCCTCTCATAGCCATGTACGGGAGAAATATTCCCCCAGCCAATCAGAGAGCGTGTATGTAGAGAAGACATTGGGTCAAAATAGTTAGTTGAAATATATTTCACTTCGGCTTGCATAATTTTTTCCCAGACACTTTAAGTATATTATAATTATTGCATAGTTCTTCTGGGTTTCCTGAATTTTTATATCCAGGATATATTAACATTATGGTGAAGGAAAGTATTTAAGCATGTTAAACACACCTTTTGAGATAATTTCCTTGGCATGGATGCCATGTGTGTTTTCAAAGTAAACTAGAGTTACATGCCCTTTAAAATAGTTTGGCGACTAGACTATTTCTTTCTCTTTGCGCTTTTACGCTCAGACAGAGTCAAGTTCAGTAAAATGGCTACGAGACGGGTACGAGTCTTCATTCAGGTTATGAAAAGGGACGAGTAGTTACGAATTATATCCAAGACTGGATTGAAATTCTGCTTCAACCTGATTAAGTTTGTGGGTTTGTCAGCACCACTACCATTCTTGGGTCTAACAAACTGGTAAATGTCTGACACTTGCCCCACTTCAGCCTTCTTCCAACACTGAGTGAGGTAGTGTCATATTATCTGAATAGTGTTACAATCAGCATGAAGCCCAACTCATTCACTTCAGCCTTCTTCCAACACTGAGTGAGGTAGTGTCATATTATCTGAATAGTGTCACAATCAGCATGAAGCCCAACTCATTCACTTCAGCCTTCTTCCAACACTGAGTGAGGTAGTGTCATATTATCTGAATAGTGTCACAATCAGCATGAAGCCCAACTCATTCACTTCAGCCTTCTTCCAACACTGAGTGAGGTGTGTCAGGTTCAGCCTTCTTCCAACACTCGAGTGTCATATTAATAGTGTCACAATCAGGAATAGTGTCACAACACTGAGCTTCTCCAACTCATTCACTTCCCAGCCTTCTTCCAGAGGTAGTGTCATATTATCTGAATAGTGTCACAATCAGCATGAAGCCCAACTCATTCACTTCAGCCTTCTTCCAACACTGAGTGAGGTAGTGTCATATTATATGAATAGTGTCACAATCAGCATGAAGCCCAACTCATTCACTTCAGCCTTCTTCCAACACTGAGTGAGGTAGTGTCATATTATCTGAATAGTGTCACAATCAGCATGAAGCCCAACTCATTCACTTCAGCCTTCTTCCAACACTGAGTGAGGTAGTGTCATATTATCTGAATAGTGTCACAATCAGCATGAAGCCCAACTCATTCACTTCAGCCTTCTTCCAACACTGAGTGAGGTAGTGTCATATTATCTGAATAGTGTCACAATCACCATGAAGCCCAACTCATTCACTTCAGCCTTCTTCCAACACTGAGTGACTCAGTGTTATATTATCTGAATAGTGTCACAATCAGCATTAAGCCCAACTCATTCACTTCAAGAATTTAGTACTGGACTTAAGGCCTTCATGGCACAAGGTGTGATTAACCAACCTCACGTTAAACTCGACATCTCATCAGGATCAAGAGTCTTCGTTGAGTTGGGGACTGATACGACTTCTTGATGATAATGCCCTACAATGTCATTTAATGCTGTTGTGGAACTACTTTATTTTTAGTTTCACGTAAAAATAAACATCTTGGTGTTCAACGAACACACTTATCCGGGGCTATCCGGGATAATAATAATCAGGGCCTAGATTTTCGAAGCTCTCTTAGCTCTAAGATAGTCGTAAATGCCATCCATTAACATTAAGTTACGACTATCTTAACGCTAAGAGAGCTTCGAAAATCTAGGCCCACGGTGTTAGCGCTTTGAGCATGCTTTGTTTCGCGGAGATTAGCGCATTATAAGACTTCTCATTATTATTATCATTATAACATGTTTTGCTTTTTCCCCAAAATCAAAAGCAGTACTTTCGGCAAAATCGTATGTGATCGAATTGGCTAATCACCTCAACTCACTCTTAGATACAGTAGACATGATCAGATGACAGCCATTAATAACAAAATATGTAACAGCCTATTTGAGATGATCCTACATTTGCTTACTTCCGAATATTTCCTGACAGATATTGATTTTTTCAGGAGCGAGGTGAGGCTCATTTTAGCGAAACAGCTTGAAAAAATGCCAGATCTTCTACACCACATATCAGGCAACCCCTTTCTCAGCCCCCTCATTTCACATGAGAAAAACTCACCGTATACATGGCGATATATGATAAATATACATTAAAGGATATATGTTTAACATTAGAAAGTCAATATTTTGCTTTTCCCTCTGATGGTTCTGAGGATCTAAAACAGCAGATCCTCCCTCCAATTGTTCTACTTGTTTATTTGTTATTTTATGCAGCACTCAGCAATATTACAGCTATATGGCAACAATCTGTAAATAATCGAATCTGGACCTGACAATCCGGTGATCAATATCATGAACATCGATTCATGCAACTGGGATATGATGACATGTGTCAACCAAGTCAGGGAGCCTGTCCAAGCAATCTTGTTAGTCACTACTATGGGTTGCTGAAGACCATTTCTAACACAAATCTTCATGGATTGTTCCACTTGTATTAACTAACCACTTATATACCAAATAAGGAATATTTTCAGGTATATACACAACATACCTGGGGCAACAACAGAGCTAAACCTCAAAAAAGTTCATTTCAGCTTCAATACACACAACAGAGTCAACTCCTGATCATGGGGGGCGATGGGGTAGCCAAGTGGTCAAAGCGTTGGCTCATCACACCAAAGACACGGGTTCGAATCCCCACATGGGTACAATGTGTGAAGCCCATTTCTGGTGTCCGTGGCCGTGATGTTGCTGGAATATTGCTAAAAGCGGCGTAAAACCAAAAAAACTCAGTCAGTCAGTCATTCAGTCAGTCCTGATCATGGAGTTAACCATCATCTGAGTTATTTCATTGAGTATTTTAACTTAATCCCCTGAAACACACATGAACACTATTCCTCGGTTATTTTACAAGAAAATATCACAGGATAATGTTATTGACTGCATATACAAAACATCTAGCATAACAGTAAATACGGTCAATATTGCAAATAATCATGTCTAGTCATCTTATTGTGCGAACTTTACATTTACATTAGTCGTAGGACAATCTCCTGTTTACTCCATACAAGACTTCATCTGAAGCAATGTAGTTATCTATAGCATTTAAATAATTTTGCATTCAAACCCTGTAGGGCCTTACATATTTTTTTCATGTGTTTCCATCTCCTACCTCTACCTGTGAAGCCCCTTTCTGGGGTCCCCAGCCGTGATATTGCTGGAAATTTTGCAAAAAGTGGTGTACCACCCAACTCACTCACTCACTCACTCACTCACTCACTCACTCATACTTCTACCACAAAAAGAGCGGGAAAAATATGAAAAAGATACATAAAACAATGTTTTTCACTGATTGTTTAAATTATTTTATGAAAATTTTCATATTTCAATCACTTGGTAATAGTCATGAATACATTTATGATGCAGATTTCATCACATTGCTTCAGAAACATTTGTTAAATAAATGTAGATGAAGAAAGATCAAGCTCACTTGTGTTTAATGTGTGTACAAGAGTAGGGGTATTTTTTTATTACATCTGGGCCTAGATTTTCGAAGCTCTCTTAGCGCTAAGATAGTCATAAGTTAATGTTAATGTATGGTACTTATGACTATCTTAGCACTAAGGAGCTTCGAAAATCTAGGCCCAGGGCATTAACTTCCATAGTGGGTAGGAAAATCAAGACAAGAAAATCTTTTATATTTTTTTGTTGGAATGAAACTTCAGGAAGGGTTGGAGATGGGAAACACGGAAAAAATATGGACAGCCCAGTTCAAGTTCAGGTGCATAGTCAAGTATTTACAAAACTTTAACACATCAGCAGTCAAGAAATTAATAAGAGCTCAAAGAAAGGGATAAAACACAACAAAACAAAATCAAAGTCTTCAAGCTGAAAAAGACAACATGTGTACTTTCACAAAACTAAATATTGTGAGTAGGTGAGCCTTCTTCCCTAAGAATATACAAGCCACCTGAGAGTTTTCTCCAGATATTTTTGTCTTTGAAGCAGATATCTTTCATGCTAGAGTGTCACATAGAATCTGGGAGTCCAAGCAGCAAACAATAATTTGAAGGTGAAATGTCTGGTTTCTACCCAAAAAGTTAGGAACATTCCAGGTATAAGATGATCAAGGTACAACAGGAACGGGTTTCTTAAAATGTACCGATACTGAGAACAGAACCCAGGCCTTTGCATGTGAGTGAGTGAGTGAATTTAGTTTTACGGTGATTTTGGCAATATTCCAGCAATATCACGGCAGGGGACACCGGAACTGGGCTGCACATATTGAACCCATAATGTATTGTGGGGAATCGAACCTGGGTCTTCAGCGTGATGAGAGAACGCTTTAACCACTAGGTTACCCTACCGCCCCACCTTGCATGTAGAACAGACTGTGCAACTACAAGGCTCACCCACTAAACATGAGTCGGGTAGCTTAAGACAAATACTTCCTTACAGAAGCCTTAGAGCAGATTTCTAGAGTGACAAAAGACATGTGTAAACCTACTGTGCCTGTTGCTTCTCATCTTTCCTCTTCACCGAAGATAGAAGTTGATTTGGGTCAGTCATCCCTTGACCTTGTATGTACTGGCAAACCAAGGGGGTCTCACTCTGAAACAAGAAATCCCATTATTGACTCACTGCTAGACTATACTGACAACACATGGTAGAGATGATATAAATCCTAATATACCACCTCCCTACTGATGAAAACACAATCAACAATTGTCTTAAGGTAATACCTAGCTGCTAATTCATTTGTCTTGTTCTCAAGGCTTTATCAAAGGTACACAAAGCCAATACACATAATGTGTGATACGTAGAGAACACATTAACTATAACAAGTACTTGCAGTGTAATTCAATGTTAAACAATGTTGTAACTGCATTGTATTGTTTCTGTTTAGATTCAGTAGAAGCTCATAATATTGTGTGTTAACAACAATAAGTTGTCAGAAATATATAACGATCTCATGTCAGCAGTGGAGTGGAAGTTACTATATTTTGATACTTTTGGATCCAAGTGTAATCTGGACTCTGAAAACAGCATAGACCAATCCAGAATAGTATGGAACCTTCCAGGTGTAAACTGAGTGAGTGAGTATGGTTTTACGCCGCTTTCAGCATTATTCCAGAAATATAATGGTGGGGGACACCAAAAATGGGCTTCACACATTGTACCCATGTGGGGAATTGAACCCGAGCCTTTTGCGTGATGAGCCAATGCTTTAACCACTAGGCTACCACACCGCCCCTCCAGAAGGTGTTGAGATGATATAAGGGGGAAGCACATGCCTCCATCACTTCACATTAAATCAAGACTACACAGTCCAAGCCCCATTCTTATATTTCATCTCAGTCTTGTAGTGGGGAACATACAAACTCGGTCTTCCTGTCCCAATCCAGAACTGGACCGACACACAGGGAACTTGGAGCTGAGACACTCGAGATGTGGAGTCGTTAGTTGCCATTATCCACTTGGATATCCACATTTGGGAATATACTAGTAGTCACCATGCTGTCCATACAACCTGTATCTTCCTGGACAAACAATCCACAAATACGCTGAATATGCCTGGCATGTGCTGGCCTCCAATCTGTATTAATTTCTGTGAAACCATATAAAACATTTTCGTTGTACATATGCTACCTTCCTCTTGTCTGCAGCAATCAGTACTGACAATTGATACATCTTGTCTGTCCATGCACTGAGTGCATAGATGCTTGACAACCCCATGTGACAATGTACTTTCCATCCTGCCAGAGAGGAAACAGATCTGGGCTGCTCACCACAGGATTCCATGTCCTACCATTACAGCCGCAATGCTCGAGGTATTTTGGTCAGGACTTCTTCAGTTACAGGTAATTCAGTTACTCGGTAATTCCTTAAGTATGCAGAACAACTGTGAGAATACTAAAAAAGTCAAACAGTGCTGTGCTTTGAACCTTAGGCCACCAGTCAGTAACTTGCATAACCACTATCCGGCTGTGCAATAAAAATTGTATGGTTTCCTTTCACATTAATTTACATCCTGCCCCTAGCCATTTCCTTCCTGGAGGCGGGAAATCAGAATGCTCACCAAAGACATTCATGTTAATTTATGACCCTATATTGAAGATGTGAAAATCAACTCTTTTGCACAATGTGTGTGTGACAGCTTCATACAAAGGGCAAGGTCACCATCAGACCAAGAAAAGATAACCATGATCTGAACAAACTGTATTACACAAAGGATCAATATGGAATATTACTATTTACATTTGTGATGCCTTGGGCCCAAACTCGGAAGTCGGGCACACTTGCAGAGATTTTTTATGATTTGTATTGGGACTGTTCACTTTAGGTGAGTGCACAGTCGTAGACATTTAGCTCTTTTGAAATGGTTCCACAGAATAAGCTTCAAAGGGGGCCCTGATGGCTTAGGTTTTTGTCCAAATAGTTTAAACTTACTTCATTTCGCCACACTTTGTTCATTAAATCAAACTGAAACTGCATTGCATTCTGGACCATAATCCATCTTTAGCGATACTTGAAAAATGATACTGATTAATGATATTATGAGTGAGTGAGTATAGTTTTACGCTGCTTTTAGCAATATTCCAGCAATATCATGGCAGTAACACCAGGAATGGACTTCACACATTGTAAACATGTGGGTAAATATATTATGTCTGTAGTAGTCTAATAACTAATACAGAATAAAAATTGGCATGTGACTCTTATTTGGTTTCAAAAAATATTTGCAAATGAATAAATGAAAAAGGCAGTCCAGGTGTGACTGAGGTAGCCCAATCAAAACAAGTAAAACAGAGTCTGTCGCTTCAACCCACATGTTATAAGGGGGGGATGGGGTAGCCTAGCGGTTAATGCGTTCGCTCGTCACCCTGACTCGATTCCTCACATGCGTACACTGTGTGAGGCCCATTTCTGGTGTTCCCCACTGTGATACTGCTGGAACATTGCTAAAAGCAGTGTAAAACCCAACTCACTCACTCACTCACTCATATGTTAGAAACTGTTTTACTGTCTGAGGACTCTGAAACAAGCCCTACACTGACTGGTGATGATGATGACAAACAGCATCTTGTTTGTTTTACCATCAGTTATATGTAAGTGAATACTGATTAAATCACAAAGATATTTTTGTTGTTGTTCAAGGTGCTCTATTTTAAAGTCTACACTTACAGCATAACATAACCAGTTTCTGTTAACAACTCAGCCATGTGTTCCTCAGTACATTCCAGGTTGAGGTCCACAGGGCTCATGCTCAACATGCTTAACGAACACGGACATTAACATGAGATGCTGGTGATTGGTCCTATTCGTCTAATATCAGAGAATCCGTTTGAAAGAAATAGCCACTGTATCCTACCTGAATGTTTTTGAATATCTGCAGCATCAAAGTTGAAATTATTTGAAATATGTAACATTAATTCATAACCAAGACTAGTCCAAAATGTGCACATACAAACACGTTATCACACAACAGATGCATTGACGGCTGGTTGTATTTTGAAGCGAGGACATTTCCAACACAGCTGCAGACTCTGTTAATATTCAAATTTCATAACAAAACCAAAGGGAAAACATATATTGTGGATGGGATGCAGACAGGGACCACTAATTTGAGGGGATGGGATGCAGATGGTACCAAAGATAACATTTGAACACACAGTTGTGGATGGGATGCAGATGGTACCAAAGGGACCACTAACATTTGAACACACAGTTGTGGATGGGATGCAGATGGTACCAAAGGGACCACTAACATTTGAACACACAGTTGTGGATGGGATGCAGATGGTACCAAAGAGGGACCACTAACATTTGAACACACAGTTGTGGATGGGATGCAGATGGTACCAAAGGGACCACTAACATTTGAACACACAGTTGTGGATGGGATGCAGATGGGTAACATTTGAACAAAGGGACCCAAAGGGACTAACATTTGAACACACAGTTGTGGATGGGATGCAGATGGTACCAAAGGGACCACTAACATTTGAACACACAGTTGTGGATGGGATGCAGATGGTACCAAAGGGACCACTAACATTTGAACACACAGTTGTGGATGGGATGCAGATAGTTAACATTTGAACACACACAGTTGTGGATGGGATGCAGATGGTACCAAAGGACCACTAACATTTGAACACACAGTTGTGGATGGGATGGGATGCAGATGGTACCAAAGGGACCACTAACATTTGAACACACAGTTGTGGATGGGATGCAGATGGTACCAAAGGGACCACTAACATTTGAACACACAGTTGTGGATGGGATGCAGATGGTACCAAAGGGACCACTAACATTTGAACACACAGTTGTGGATGGGATGCAGATGGTACCAAAGAGACCACTAACATTTGAACACACAGTTGTGGGATGCAGATGGTACCAAAGAGACCACTAACATTTGAACACACAGTTGTGGGATGGTGCAGATGGTACCAAAGGGACCACTAACATTTGAACACACAGTTGTGGATGGGATGCAGATGGTACCAAAGGGACCACTAACATTTGAACACACAGTTGTGGATGGGATGCAGATGGTACCAAAGGGACCACTAACATTTGAACACACAGATGGTACCAAAGAGACCACTAACATGAACACACAGTTGTGGATGGGATGCAGATGGTACCAAAGGGACCACTAACATTTGAACACACAGTTGTGGATGGGATGCAGATGGTACCAAAGGGACCACTAACATTTGAACACACAGTTGTGGATGGGATGCAGATGGTACCAAAGGGACCACTAACATTTGAACACACAGTTGTGGATGGGATGCAGATGGTACCAAAGAGACCACTAACATTTGAACACACAGTTGTGGATGGGATGCAGATGGTACCAAAGGGACCACTAACATTTGAACACACAGTTGTGGATGGGATGCAGATGGTACCAAAGAGACCACTAACATTTGAACACACAGTTGTGGATGGGATGCAGATGGTACCAAAGAGACCAGTTGTGGATGGGCTGCAGTCAGTACCAAAGGGACCACTAACATTTGAACACACAGTTGTGGATGGGATGCAGATGGTACCAAAGTAACCAAAGTTGTGGATGACCACTAACATTTGAACACACAGTTGTGGATGGGATGCAGATGGTACCAAAGGGACCACTAACATTTGAACACACAGTTGTGGATGGGATGCAGATGGTACCAAAGAGACCACTAACATTTGAACACACAGTTGTGGATGGGATGCAGATGGTACCAAAGAGACCACTAACATTTGAACATACACTTATGGAAGGCCTGTATATAGTACCCAGGGATCATTAAACGAAGGTGTATTGGACTTCTCTAATCCTGATTACATGCAGCTGCACCATTGCCCGTTTTTAAACATGGTAGTAAGTGATAACTGGGTCTTTCTTCCCCTCTATATAGATCTACAATATGTCTATGGGCCTGCATGTCATAATCAGTCTGCCTTGGTGGGCCCGTGTCTAGGGGCTGCCCATGCTGTAAAAAGACATCAACATATTTCAATTACGGAAGGAACTATCCCATGCCACTTAATTCTTTCTGAAAACATACTCTCATACTCGTTAACAATTTTCTAATTTTTATCTC